CCAAGAAAAAATTTTGTTTTTTCCTTTCTGGGGCCTGCAAGCACCCCCCCCCCCCCCCGCCCCCCAGTCCTCTGGTTGCTGCAGCTTTTCTTTTTCAAAGGCAGAGAAAGAAACGACCCATCTTGTCTCCTGTCCAGCCCCTTGAGCCGCTCCCCTCTCCTTCACATCCTTCCTGCCGGACCCTCCCAACTCATAGAGTCGTGGAACCCGCTCTCTCTCTGCGCCTTTCCAGCCGGCTTTAAATCTCGATGCCTCCCACACACCACCGCGGCGCACGAAGCGTCATCTGCCTCCAGCTTGTTTGCTTTGCAGCCACACAAGGCTGAACAAAACGTCAAAAAGTTTTATCTGTGCGCTGCACATTTTACTTCCAGTGCTGCCAAAAAATGTGGACAGAAATCAAAATATGCAACACAATGTCTTCAGAATCCACCTGGCCTGATGAACCACACTGACATTGGAAGAAAACAAAAAAGCGGGGACCTTTCAAAATTCTTAAAATCTACCTAAATTTAGTCAGTGACATGGAGAATCAGGGGAAATCATCAAAAATTTAACTTGTGTTTGTCCTTACAGCAAAACCGTATTTTTAAATAATGCTACAGGTATATGGAAAGGTGTTTTTGTAGAGAATTATCAGGTTTTCAAGCTGCCATATCTGATCTTATCTAGCACAAAGGGGATGAAGTGATTTCGCTTAGAAAAGGAAGAATTTTTTTTAATCGTCAGAAGTATAATAATTGATTACTAACAGAATCATTAGTTACAGCCCTATTTTTGTATGACTGGTTCTGTATTAAAATATGACCTTCCCATACAAACAGTAAAGCTTCAAATAGAAGCTCTACTTTTCTCACAAGTGAAAAACACTTTTAACCACTTGAGAAATCCTGACCTGACATTTTTAAAAGTCGCTGCTGGGAACTGGGGGGAAGTAAGAGGGCCAGTTTGAGACATGGATGTAAAAAAATAAGAAGGAAAAAAGATGATAAATCAGAACGCTGCAGCTCCTGGCATGAACTGAACGTCACAGGCTGCTGAGGACAAACAATCCGAGAGCATCTTCAGGCCGGTCAGAACGCCTCAGAGTCTTGCGGATATTTTCCAGAGTTGCTGCCTCCGTCGTTTGCATTCCTGAGTCGAGGCCATGCTGGTTTGAATTAGAAACCAAGGTGAAGCAAACAGGGACTTTACAAAGTTAGTCAAAGAGGTGAAGGCAGGTCTACGCCTAGAGTTTACTCAAGGATGGGCGACACTTCATTCAACCTCATCCTCACTCCAGGTTGATGTGATCAACGGCACATCAGCAGTGTGCACACCATGACATCACTGCAGTCTGATTCCTTTGAAAGTGATTATATCTTGAATTTCAATCAACGAGAGATTTGCAAAAAAAAAAAGAAAACAACGTAATATCCAAGATGTTTTCCTAAAACTATCAGTCATCTGGTACCAACGAAGATCTTAACACCAGTTTTCAGGACAGGTAAAGGAGGGTGAAGAACTGTCTCTATATGCTTCATACAGCCAAAGAGGTATTTAGTCATTCATGCAACTTCCTCTGGAATCTCATAAAAACAACTTCAAAGCATTGGAAAGGTAACGGCACAACATTTTCAGCCCCTTGCTAGTAAGCATTACTCCATCTTTGCATCAGTAGTCCAGTCTTTTGGCATCCGAAGCCTGTCTACTACCAAGGGGTGCATTCACACCAGTCGTGTTTAGTCTGGTCTAACTGAACTCTCATTTGTTTGCCTCGAAAGTCTGGTTCGTTTGGGGAGGTGTGAATGAGCCATCAAACTCCGATGCGGACTAAAAACGCAAACTCTGGTCCACCGACAGACCTAGGTCTCAGTTCGGTTGAATTGAACTCTGGTGTGGTTAGAATGCATATGAGAATACCAAGCGCATCAGAGACCGTTCCAAAAGCAGGAAGTGGACCACAGCGCAGGGCATTCTGTAGAGCTAGTGGTAGAAATGGCTGGGTGGCTTTGCCAAGGGCAAAAGAGAAATCCTACAACCTCTAAACACTGACACCACTCCACTTTTGTTTATGTTTCATAAAGAAATGTCTTCTTCAAAGGTTTTGGTGTTGTTTCCTTCAATGGTTTTAGGTGTAGTGCCACCACAGGGGAGGGGGGAGAAACATGTTTTCAAAGGGTTTAGTTTGTTTGCAATCAAATCGAGTCAATCAAGTGTGAAAACATCTTAAGTGCAAACAGTGTTTTATCAACAGTTGTTAACAGTGTTTCATACAGTCTTATAAGAGTGAGATGAAGTCAAAGCATCCCAGCTATTGTTACAAACCAGGACACTGTAATGTATTTATCTTCATGGATTTGTGTGGTTTAACCCAACCTTAGGACCAAGGTTAATTAAAAGTTTAGAGTTCGGGAGGAGTCTCTAACAGCACAACAACCCGCTCACCTGATCCTTCTGAGCGCCCGTCGCTGCCTATCAGTGGAACTGTGATGGCTGCCGTTGCGACGCCGTCTGTGGGCATGGTGGTGTAAACTACAGGAAGCGACTGCACCACCACAGGGATGGTCTGCAGCTGGCCCACCTTGCTCGGCATGCTGACCGATGGGATTGTATGGATGACGTGGAGAATCTGCTGTCCTCCGGCTCCTTGTGTTGCTAGGATAGAACCTGGAGAGAGGACCTGGCAGGAGAACATGACGGAGTCAGAAACCGTGCTGTGTGTCTTATTATGAATAAACGGAGGAGGCAGGAGTTTGTGGTTACCATGGAGCCTATGGATTGTACCGTGGAGGGAACCGGCGTGGCTGAAAGGCCGGGCTGGGATGCGGCGCTGCTGGGCGCCGGGTTGACCGTGGAGCTCGTTGTGGAAGCAGAGCGGGGCTTGTTGAGCGACAGGTCGACGGGTTCGGTCTGGTCCTCAGCGGGACTCGAGTGAGGCGAAGACGGCTCCGCCTTGAACTCTGACTTCATCTTCAGGTCTGTGGGTTGGGAGCAGTCATCACCTACATCCGCCTGTCGGGGGGGAAAAAAGGAGGGGAAGAGCTACGTCAGTTGTTTACACATTACACATATCGCATGACACACAGTATTAAATAATAGATTACATTACTAATGTGAGACATGACAAATCAATACAATAATGACAGAAGTTTTCAAACAATCTTTTGTAGCCTTTTTACCCCAAGAAAATGTGGAATTTCCCTTACTGTAAAAGGTTTATGTCTGTCTTTGTTTTAAAACCAGAAATGGTGAGAAACTAAAGCCTAGTTCTCAAATTTCCCAAGTTTTATATGGTAGGCATATACAAAACTTAAGTTTGTTAATCAGTGTCAAGTTCTGTCTTGGTAAAAAAAAAAAGAAAAAGGCCTTTTACCTTAGAAAGTAATCTTAACAGAAAGAAGCAAGTCAAGTTTCAAGGTGCTTTATGTGATAAAAACCTAACACATTGAAAGGTCTGAAGACAACAGCAGACTAGTTCCACTGGCAGATTATTTCACTTACAGCAAGACATTTCCCCCTGTTATAAGTGAAAAATCTACCAGGATAACTTGTACTTTTTATCAATATCCAATAATTATTTTGATGAAAAGTTTCTTGTTTTATATTATTTAATTGCATAGATATTTACACTAGAGACTAGACAAAAGTACTTGGTAAGATTTTGTGTTTTTCCAGTGAAACAGAATGAGATTCAAAATAAAGGGAATTTTATTAAGGCAGACTATTTAAACTGGAAAATGGTGCAGAAATTATGCCATCAGACGAGCGATAAGCCTCCATAAACATGCATCATTTAATATTCAGGTTTTTTTTTTTCCAAGCAGTGGAAGCAGGAATGCTGGCGTTGGGGATCCAATAAGCCCTCGTTCTCTGAGCCTCCTTAGAGGAATGGAGCGTTGATTCTCCTCTCCAACCACCCAGGGCTCAGCTGCCATGCAGCCCCAAAGTACAGTGAACAATGGCTGCTGTGTGGAACGCTGGGAGAGGGGGAGGTGGATGAGAAAGTGAGACGGACAGAGACAGAAGGCTGCATGGGTATGGAGAGAGACTGGTACAGGCTGAAGGAGAGAGACAGAGAGAGAGAGAGAGAGAGAGAGAGAGAGAGAGAGAGAGAGAGAGAGAGAGGGGAGAAGTGGAAGAGGGAACAGCAGTGAGCCTCCAGTCCAGGAATTGGCCTCCATCCAGTTGAACTGAGCATAGTTTGGCTCTGGCGAGGAGGAGAGGGTGGAGGCTCCGCTACACCCTTTTATCAGGCCACGCATTCAGCTGGAAGCTGGGTTTGTAAAGGTGAACGGATTAACAAACACGTAAACATCAGCTATCCACCTGGATGTCTATGCAAATAACTGCAGTCTAATACGGAAACTATTTGTTCTGCATGTTTGGATGAATTTGTTACAGATTAACTTCTTTTAAAGGGATGAATGCGTCTTCTCTTCCAGCTCCAAAACTACATTTGTGAATAGAGATTTAAAAGTGCTAATGACCCGCTCTTTGTGTCGGATATATTATCTGTTTCCTCTGCAGATGAACTGAGCAGGAGAGAACAAAAAGGAACAGAGAAGAGGAAAGAAATAGGAGCTCACAAGGCAAGAGGAAAAGAAAAATAGAAGTGGAAAGGAAAGGAAAGGAAAGGAAAGGAAAGGAAAGGAAAGGAAAGGAAAGGAAAGGAAAGGAAAGGAAAGGAAAGGAAAGGAGTGGCAGACAGGTATATATGAAGTGAATTCCAAATCTAAAATTGTTCAAAACTTGGCAAAGGTCTCCTGAACAGAATAGAGAAAAAGAAGAAAATAAGAAAAGGATGATCATAAGCCAAAAAGAAAAGGAAAGCCATAACGCGATTATAGTGAGACGGTCAAAAGGAAGGAAGAACGGAAACAAAATCCTGAAAAGAAAATCAAGTGTGAAAGAAGTGAGCAAGGCAGGGAAGAGAGAACGAAACAACAGAAAGAAAGACAGAAAGGAAGGAAGACGGAGTGGGTGGGAAAGGCCCTGCCGTTTCCATGGAAACTGAGAGCCATCAGCTGACTCCATGTTTTCCGCTCGTTCCACCCACCACCAACTCCCTTCTCTTTCCCTCCCAGTCCGTTCACCTTTCCATCCTTCATCCCTCCATCTCACCCCCCTCTCTTCACTCTCTCTCTTTCAGGACCACACCTCTGACACCTTTCTCTCCCACACCTCCGCCTCTCCCTCCTCAGCATCCCTTGCTCTTTACACCAACCACACCCTCAGTGCCTCACCCTTTCATCCCCACGGCGGCTTTTCTTTCTACCCACTCGCTCACATACTTTTTTTTCCCCGTTTTTCCCCTCTCCTCACGGCTGCTCAGACGATTCTGAGCAGAAATCCACAAACAAAGACTCCGAAAGGATCCGTTTCTAACAAAGAGTAGAACATCTTTTCTGGACTCGAGATGACATAAAAATTAGAAAAAGAAAAAAAAAATTGTAGCTTTTAAACGGGTTAGTTCACGGGGATCATATGTGGAGATACTACAGTAACTGAGCTGGTGCAATTCAAATCATCGCCTTGAGAAAATATTTAAACAACTTAAACTTTTTCACATTTTGTTATTCAGTTCAGTTCAAAAATCCTTTTTTTATCCTAAGATGGAAAGAAAATATTATGACCAACATCATCCAAGTATCTTCAAAGAGTTCCTGCTTTGGGCGGGAGGAATGTCCTGTAGCAGTCAGTCTTGCAACAATTCTGTAGAAGCCTCTGACTGAAGACTATTTCTATGACAATATAGTTTGATTTCCAGAGACAATATTCCACATTAAGCATGATGCTGCTCCCTCCTGTGTTTTTGCTGGCAGAAGCTGGAGCGCATTACTGACAGAGGCTCTTCTTTTATTTTGCATTTCAATATTTGCCTAAATCCCATAATTGCTGTGTGTTCTTATCTCAGCGCGTCTATAAGCCATTAGGTCTGTCGCAATAAGCAATAAATCAATTAATCGCATGATAAATTTCTACCAAAAACTGCATGACAATAGTCTTCATTCTGGACCTTTGGACAATTTTGTGTACAGCAACTTCATAATTCATTTTATTTATTGTTTTGTTTATTTATTTTGGATATTTAAAATGTCTCCCAGTTCCAGTGTTAAATGTTCATTAGAATTTAAAGTTTATTGGTCTTTGAGAATGTGTTCTTGCATAACTGTCCCATCACCATTACATCACTTGTCATAAATAAATGGAATTCCACCAGACAGCCTTTGGGCTTTTAACTGCAATTAAATAAACAAATTTAACTTTTGCTAAGAACTTTTCAAAGTCAAAGAGACTCGCATCAAACTGTCTTTGTTTAAGCCACAATGAACTTCCCACATTGGGATGCTCTGAGCTGAAACCCTTGACGGAGCGTGATGTGTCGCTCCTCTTCATCTGCCTGCATTCCCCAGTTCAACAGCTCCGCCGTAAAATGGGTCACCCGGTCCTCATCTTGCAATTAATTCATGCGATCCCCAACTCTGTCTGATGCGGCCGGCAGCTGTGACTGTGGCGGCGGAGGAACGCACTCGCTCGGCGTCCGCAGGACTTTAATCATCTTGTACTTGGGGCCGCACGTTTGGTACCGGTAATGAGTGATTTACGGGCGGGCAATAAAGCTCAGCAGTCAGTTGGCCAACAGAGGACGGCTGACACATGTAAGACGTATAACTGTGTTTAATGCATGTGAACAAGGCTGAGGTATTCAGAGCTGGCAGTGGCTTTAAATGATGTTTTAACCGTGTGTGTGTGTGTGTGTGTGTGGGTGTGTGTTTGGTTTTTGTGATGTGACTGTAAGCATTTAACAGAGAGAAACTGGTCAGGTTAGAAGAGGTCAACTAACAGATGGCGAACGGTTTGTGTAGCTTACTGGTATATACATGGGATTTTTAAGTGTCATTTTAAGGTAACAAATTAATACATGATTATATAATTTTGAAGCACTTGGGTAAATGGAATTAATTAATGAACCATCTGACCACAGAATGATTCCCACAAACCAGATAAAGGCAGCTTGATTATTTATACGACTAAACTTCAGATGCTGCTGCTGTTGTGCTCTTTGTTAGACGACATGGAATCAAGATGATGGTCCAGCAGAGACACGTTCATAAATACATCCATCCATCCAAACAGGCCGGGTCAAGCATCCATCCATCCATCAATCAGTTTATCCATCTGCCCATCCGGCTGTCTCCCACTTTTCTGAAATTGTGTCTAGCAGGTAAACAAAGCCGTCCTCCTCACCAGTGAGATTCCAACAACCTACTGTTCCAGTCAGACAGGGCAGAAAAACCTCCAAACTGAGGCATTTAGGAAGAATCCTTAAGACAGATTCCTCCTTAGCGCCTCCATTTGAAGGTACACTGGTTTTTCTGGTGCTTTCATGTTTGATCATGAGGGCAGAGATGGACAGCACAACACAGACATGAAGAAGGAGAGAAAAGAAACAACAGCTGACAACATTCACACAGATGCAGCTCCATCCACTCCAACACCAACCAGCTACAACCAGTGTTTAGGTGAGAGCATTGTGCTCTCATTTCCTGCCCTGCTGGATCCACCTGTTTGCAGACTGATCCCAGTCAGTGAGCCACCAGGCCAGACTTTTTCCTGTTGCTCACCACACACCAAAACTGGAGGTTCGTTTCGGTCTGGAGTGGTTTGACAGGAAAACTCTAAGGCAGTGGGTAGGAAAAGCTTGCTGCCAACAAATGATTGTTAGACAGTTAAAGTCTGGAAGACTCTGTTTGACTTTGAACCAAGATTGGAACATTTGTTATATTTTCAACTGCTGCGGTTCGCTACACTGTCAAACAAACCAAACCCTTTGAAAAGCCTGTTCCCCTCCTCACCTGTAGTGGCGCTGCACCAAGAAGAAACCGACACAAAAATCCCTGAAAAAGACACTAAGAGCAAATTTCTTCTTTTCAGGAAATGTAAACAAAAATGGAGTGGGAGTGGTCTACATCAGAACTCCATTACACATCCACAGACTTGGACTTTCTAGG